GGGGGTTGTTTTTGTTTTTTGTTTCGTTGTTTTTTTTGGGGTTTTTTGTCCAGATCAATACAAACGATGGGGTCGGGGGGATCAGTATCTCAACTGGTATGGTAAATGAATCGCCTGTCAACCAAGAGATCTTTGCGTTCAATCCTCGCCAGCGTTGGTTTTATTCATTGACTTTATAAAAGTGTACACAGCTCTCTGGTTACACTGACGTGGTGGTTTTGTCCCTCACTGGCTTCACGTTCCCCACGTTTTCACGTTATCGTCACCCAACTTGCAGGGCAGATAATATGACGGAAGCCTTCGTTAACCTGTATCCGACTTCACATCACAATCCCCACACTTTCACAGCCCGCCCTTCACGATTTTGACCGCTGCTGTAAAAGTGCTCTCTGCAAATCGTCATTCTGCGGTCTTGGGGAGGAAATTCTAAAAATACCACCGTCAGGGAATGTAGAAAGCTGAAATTCATTTTAATCAAAATTGCCTTAAATTGTATTTCTGACTTCAGATTTGGATTCTGCGATAAAAATTGCCATGTAGCGCGCGAAATTTTAACTTTTAGACCCATTTTCGCAACATAGACAATTAAAAGATAATTGTAAACACGCTGACCTCGACCTTGATCTACATGCTTTGACTCTTGGGTCGTTCACGTCTTTCTTTTTGTAGGCCCTATATAGATTAGAAATAGTATATTGAGACGCTTGATTCAAAACTTGAGCCGACAAGATGGAAGAAGCACTAATTGCAGCGGTGGAGAAGAGACCTGCACTTTTTGATAAATCACACGACAATTACTAAAACAGACATTACGTCAACAAGCAGTGGGTAGACATTGCTAAAGAAGTTGGAGTGGAAAGTAAAAATTAAAGTTTCATTGTTGTTGTTTCTTTTAATCACAAGGGAGAAAGGAATGTGAAGTCAGTACGTTTGTGTAATCAACTCAAACTTTCCCTTCCCAAAACGGAGAGAGTTGAAAACGTGGGGAACGTGAAGCCAGTGCGTTTACAGCTTTAGGATGCTTTGCAGTTCGCATTGATGATACATTAACACTTTCAAAGCAAAACATTTTTGAAACATTCCTTGCTGTCTTTTTTTTCGGATTAAAAAAATCAGGGCTATCTGTCAAGGTGGTCCTCAACTTATATTGAAGTCTGTACATTCCACGTTTCTTATATACTACTCGTGCTGGCGAAGGTCTACTTCAGTTCTCAATTCGGAACTCACTTCGCCAACTACCCACACTTTAAGTTTCCACGCAACGTGAGGACAATATGAATATGAGTCAAGCGAGAAATAATAATATAATCTATAATATACTGTTTTCTTAAATAGGAAATAAATGGGCGTGTCTTTGTGGGGAGGG